AGCACAAAAAAGTACGTTAATAAAATTCAAATGATAAATTGTGTTTACTTTTATCAAGTATACCTCAATAAATAGTTCATAATTGTCCGATTAAAGTAATAAAATAACGATGTAACTTCTTAAATTGAATTATTAATTCTTCGAATTACATCAATTTATTCTTTTTCTTTTTTTTGTATCAGTACAGTTACATAAATCAGGCTTGACAATGTAGTTATTCACATTTGATTCATAGTTGAAATTTTCAATAAAATGGCTGTGTGTTACTTCAATACTTCAAGACATTTCGAGCGTTGGACAATCCAAACTTTTATTTGAATGTTTCAACAGCTACTGATTCATCGCCTCTGCGCGCCAAAGTTCTAATTACTTTGTTTCGCGAAGCATAAGTACGAATATTCGATTGAAAAAACCTTTGCGCAGTCGGAAAAATACTTGCATGACTTATGAACGAGTGGAAAATTTCTATCAAGCCTATAAAACGAATATTTTTCAGATTTAAAAGGAAATGCAAAATTTTTTTACAACCCAGCTTATGAATATTAAAATTAATGTATACTACTCAAATATTTATCAAGATAATTTTTCCATTTTATTTGTGCCAAGCACGTGTAATTTAGAATGTAGCAAATGAGCATCAGATACGTCAATTTCTCTTTTTCTTCCTCGCTCTTGCATATATGCACAGAGGGTTATTTGCAGACGACGTGACCCGAAATTGTTAAACTCATTTGAGCTCGAAATTCCGTTCCATTTAGTACGGTAGTCCCTACCGGCTCACACTTCCTACCATATTTATTGTTATTTTTTCATTCTGTCAACATTCTAAAAAATGTTTTTCATAACGAATTCTTTTTGATAGTATTTTAAAAATTATTTCGAACAACTTGAAACGCTGCTTTCTTAAATTACTCGTTGCTCTTTACGAGCGAACTTTGCTTCAACTAACTTTTACAATTTTGTCACCCTGGCTCGTAATTAAAATAATAATGTTTTTAATTGATACTGTTGAGGTGCCATTTGAATTGGTTTTTTTTTTATTTACTTAGTTTATCTTTGAATGAACCTGTATTGAAAGCAGTTGAAACTGTAACTGTTGTTTGAGCAAATTATATTAATCCGAAGAGCCATCAAGGCTTACTGGTGTCGGAACTAACTTGCCACCATTATACGCCAAGACATCGACTTAACCTGTAGTATTGATGTAGAGCTCAAGAGAACTCCCATTCCAGTTTTTCCACTGCATATAGTTTATTTACACGTATAGCCTATAATAGTATAGCATAAATAATTTACATATTTGTTCATTGATCATTATTTTACTTTATTGAAATGTTCTATTACGATTAGGTGAAAAATAATCATTAGTTTTCGACATATTCAAATCTAGAACTTGTATTATTTATAAATCATTGCATCTTTTTAATCCGCACCTTGTCGACGAAGAGAGGCGAGCCACCCTTTAAAGAAAAAAAAATCCATTTCAGTTCACACAACGAGCCATTCCCTCTATTTCTTGTTCCTCGCTGCCTACTAAAGGTGCACGCATAACGACTAGTATTTATGCTGCGTGACAGGCTCACAGGTTTTAATGGCGGCATTGCTGTATGTGTCGATGCCGCCGAAATGTCGCTTCAAAGTTTTCACATCCGATAACTAATCCTTGGCACAATATTTAAATTTTCTTTGAATCATTCGTTGTTTCAACTAGTTTTATAAAATAAAATATGGTTTTCTCGATAAATTGTTTTTCATTCGAGAGTATTTGAATCGTGTTTTTACACTTCGAGCAGCATTGATAACTTGTTTCTTTGAAATATAACGGTATGTTATAAAAAAAATGTTTTATTTGCGTACATCTATATATCTTATATACATTGATTGTTTATCCTCAACTTTGTTTCACGTACCACTGACATCAAACAAAAGAATTGATTGATCATCATCTCTAAAAAGTTCAATACTCTGAAGATATTTTTTTTATGAAATGTCAACAAAACGCCTTGACGTTCCAATCTTTACTTACACACTTTATATACTTTTAAAAAAACGGAGTGGAAATGAGACTTCTTTTTAAGAATAAATTTATTGATTTTGGAAGTTAACACGTTATTCTTTACACTTTTCGTAATTCTCCGTTTATTAATAAAGCCACATGTTGCTACTGACATTTAAAAGGAAGAAAAACGAATAAATTCTCCACCATCATCAATAATCTTTCCTCTTGACGATTCGTGAAAAATATTTTCCATTTTTTCGTGCGCAAGCTGTGTCATACGGGTGTCGCTGCGTTTTTTCCCTTTTGCAAACGCATTCATGCGTTTTATTGATAATAGCTCTGTGGCCATCGACAACTGTATAACTATGATGCATCAAGGACGACAAAAAAGTATGCATAAGCACACAGATACATATATTCGAGCGCGCTCGCGAAGTCAGTTTCAACTTAACAAGCTTTACCATTGACAATAAAACAAAACAATGGGACTGGGTTAACAGCGATTGAAGTAGAGGCACTAATTAAAAGTAAATGTTATGAAAAATAATAAACGGTGCTGTGTTGGACCCACGCGCGTATATTTAAAAACGAAACTCGCAGTTGATCGCTTAAACGGAGCTTTTTTGGCAACACTCGCTCACACTCGGTACTTGCCTGCAAATCGCAATGCTATTAAATTAATGACACGACGTAAATCGCACATGAAACGCGCTTTAATCTGAAAAATATTGTGAAAATTCTTTCTTTTTTACGAGAGCTAGTATACGCGACATTAGTTTGTTTCGTTCGCGTCAAATATTTCGCATACGCGCGCATTATACAGATCAAACCTTCGGATTAATCGTCGCAAAGTGTTGGTGCGAGTCGCTGCTCCGTTTGTAGTAGTGACAACAAGCAGAGCAAAATTAACGAACGCAATAATTGTTCCGATAGACGGATGTCTGTCAGCCACATTAGACAAGGTTAAATTCTTTTACGCAACTCTGCTCGAGCCTATTACAATAAACACTCTGACTTTTTCATAAAAAAAAAAAAAAAAAAATTAGTCGAGAGTGAAAAAATGATCGCATTTTTGTTTGAAAAAAAGGTGTCAATTTAAATAATGAAATTCATAACGTTTCGAGTTAAAAACGCGAGATACTCGAAAACATCGTGTATAAAACGATATAACTTTTGAAGACTTATTGTTTATATTGTTACAAGGCGATTCGTCGAAGAAAAAAATGCAACAAGTTGCGCGTAAAGTTATACAAAGTGAAAAAAAAAAAAAATCTCATCCAAGTTATAATACGTCCGAAGAGACGCGCGCGCATGTGTTTAGCAATGCTGCTCGCCCAAAGTAATAAAAGAGCCCAGGAATCGTGTAATAACTCGATATTTCATGCGAAATCGCATGGAATGCGTCGGCCTGTAATCATCGCCCGTGTAGTTTGCTGCTGCTGCGCGAATAAATTGTATGTGTGCATAGATGAGCAATTTTCCTTTTTTTTTTTCTCTCTCTCTCTCTCTCTCTCTCTCTGTGTTGTAGCAGAAGCTGACGATACCTTTTACTGTTTACGTGCAGAAATGAAAGTTCCTGTGCAATTAGACCGGCCGCCTGTACACATGCACTCGATCTAGATCTATTTTTCGAAACGGAAAAACTTTTTCATCGCCATCTCGTGTATGTTCGTAAATAAACGAGGTATTTTTTTTTTTTTTTTTTGTTGCTCTCGCTCGTTCGTTCGGTTATATTCGCACATAGTTTTCGATGGTTTAAACGCGATTGTTTTACGTCTTCGAAAAAAAAAAAAGATAAAAATGCTAATAATCGCGCGCGCGCGCCTTGCGAAACGCGAAAAGGAGCAATTGAAAGAAACGACGACGACATAGCGGCGCATCGCGGGCTCGAACTCCTCGCGCGCCAACACCACCCCTCTTTCTCTCTCTCTCTCTCTCTCTCTCTGTCGAATGTGTATACTATTACTAAACTACATACACGTCGTCGTCCGTGCAAATGCCCTTCGGCGCGGCCTCGCGAGGGCGACGTACTCTCTCTGACTCTCTCTCTCTCCTTGTCGAGTAAAGTGCATAAAGGACAGAGAGATAGAAAATACACTTCTACGAAGAAGTGGAAGAAGACGAAGAAGAAGAAGAAGATCTAGCAACGCCGCGCGCGCGCGCCCAGTACTTTTTTTCCTTCTCCTCGTGCTCCTTCTTGCCTTCCCCACCTTCCTCCTCCTCCGCCACCTCCTTTTACCGCCTTATCCCTTCTTCGCCCGTAACGGGTTTTCACTCTTTCACGTGCTTGGCATAATTGTGTGTGCTCTTTCTCTCTCTCTCTCTCTCTCTTTTCCCATCTCTCTCTCGTCCGTAAGAGCAGTGGTTTGTTCAAGCAAGGATTATATTTTAAAGATATATTTATAAACCTGCGCGCGCGTCTGTGTGTCGGTGTGCACATCTATGAGCAAGTGTCATCTTCTTTTGTCATCTATGAGCGCACACATTAATAACCGCCGCTGACGACATTTCTTTTGCGTAATGGCTCGTGCAAGCGCATGAGCATAGCAGCAGCAGTAGTAGTAGTAGTAGCGATGATGTAGTGGGCGAAGAAACTGAATACCCTATGTCTTACGGCGTGTATATACTTTTCAAAGAATGCATTGTTATCTCTCGGCACTGCTGTATTTCTGAACGAGTTAATGAAATTGTGACGATACACGAGAGTCTCGAGTGACGTTATATAGAGAGCGCCGAGCGCGAGCGATGATTAATTATTTATGAGGTGCGAGATGCGTTTGCATATCATACATATATCTCGCGCGACACCCTCTCTCTCTCTCCTGCGCACTGCCCTGGAATCCTGCCACATGAGTTTCAAAAGTTCGCCGATAAACTCGTCCCCCTTTTTCCTTACATCGCATAAAAACACATATACAAATATAAAACCAATGCTTTCCAATGATAATGTCTCAGAATTCATAAGTATAATGTAAATTTTTTTTTCTGTCTCTGTGTTTAGCGTTGAGAGAGCTGCCCAACGTGAACGCGAGAGGCAAGCACGTGCAGCTATGTCGCATCAACACATCGACCACTCACGTAGTCGCTCAGCCAATATCCATCACAGCTCGCCCAGGAATGAGGAGGACTGTGACAATTCCTTGTTCGGCGCCCCAGTTCGGGTAAATATTATACACAACCCCAAGCGATGATGTGTATGCATGTGATTGAATCTTGTATGGGAAAATCGTATGATGTTAATGCGCTTGTTAGAAAATGTATTCGAAAAACCTGAAATCTAGTCGAAACGTTAAAACATACGAATTTCACATGAGATGATTGAAAAGTATTTCCCTTTTTTTTTTGTTTTTTAATAAAAATTTGCAATGTTTCACCGACGTACTATACTCAAAATGCCCTTTCGATCTCGTATTCGCAGGTCAATCCAGAATTTCAGGACCGCCTAACGCAACAGATACAATCCAAATTGGGTAATCATTCTCTAGTGAAGCACCTGCTTACCGATAGCGGCAAGGGCCTCATAGGAATAGACGGCGGGCAAGCGAATCGAGGCGGACTCACGAAGAGCAGCTCCGCCTCGGTGCAGCCTGGCGGCGCGTTGAATCCCAACGAGTTCAAAAAGCCGGGAGGTCCGCGGCCACCCTCGTCGTCGTCCAGCCAAGCGCCACCATCGAGCAGGTCAGGTAGCAGCAGCAGCAGCAGCAGCAGCAGCGCTCACAAGTCCGGATACCCTCCTCCCTCGTCGAGGCAAGGAAGTTTTCACTCTCAGCAGCAGCAGCAACAGCAGCAGCAGCAGCAGCAGCAACAACAACAACAACAACAACAACAACAACAATCGTCACAGAAACCCACGAGTCACAGTAGCGATCACAATAAATTTGCGACGAGCAGTAGGGGGAGTCACGCATTTAATGCTCCGAACTATGACAATGCCCAGAATTCGAGTTCGAGCTCAAGTTCGTCGAATCGTATGCGCGAAGTGAACCCACAGAAGTCGTCGTCGAAGAGCTACTCGGATATGGTAAGTTTCTTTACTCCTCGCTGTATATTGACTAAAAGTTCATAAAAGTAATCACGAGTGCCAAATGTAAACTTGGTGTGTGGCGAAACAAAATTTGTTCGAATTTTATTCGAAAAATTAAGCACGAACACTCGAGCTTCTCTTTTATCACATAAGCAGTGTGTGGATTTTCCATAATTGTTTGTTTGTTTCTTTAGTTGTTATCGAAAGTTACGCACCGTTTCTTTTGTGGATTTACATGAATGACTTCACACTTTTATCTACTTTTGGTTTAACCCATTAACGCGCAAAAGTGCAATTTTGTGCATGAATTTTCCGTTGTAAAAAAATTATAGATAAAGTTAAAATATTTTCTTTAAAATCCATACCCAGGGGTTTTTGGGTATGCTCTTTCAGTATCCGGTGTTATTTTTGTGATAAATAAACATTATCATCGTTTATTTTGCCATTAAAAACAAAAAACGTGATTTTTTGACTCAAAATTTTTTTTCAAAGTCGATTTTCTACCTTGCCTTGCCTTCGGAGGGTTCCCATAACACCAGAAATCGTGCACTTTTTCTCTGAACCTTCAAAAAATGCGCTGCCGCGATTTTTATCTAGCCCCTACAATTTCTAAAATGGCGAATTTATACCGAGCAGCGATATGAAAATTGCCTTATTTTTTATTTGTAAATTATTGACTTTATAAAAGAAAGTCATACAATGGAAAGTGTTCAAATTTGTTCAGAGAATACATGTGAATTTTTTTTAGAATTTTTTTAATAATTTTTTCAAAAATTTTCAGATTTTTTTTGGAACATTTTGGATTTTGTCGACAGTCCGGGAAATGGTCGTATTTTGCAAAATTTTCAAAGTGGTCTGAAAAATTCTGAAAAAATTCACACGTATTCTCTAAACGATTTCAAATAAGTTTTTACACTCCAAATTGTACTTTTGAGTTCATATTTAGCGCATGTAAAATAGGTTCTGAGTAAAAAATGAGTGGATTTTTATACCGCTGCTCGGTATAAATTCGCCATTTTAGAAATATAGGGGCAAGATAAAAATCGCGGCAGCGCATTTTTTGAAGGTTCAGAGAAAAAGTGCACGATTTCTGGTGTTATGGGAACCCTCCGAAGGCAAGGCAAGGTAGAAAATCGACTTTGAAAAAAAATTTTGAGTCAAAAAATCACGTTTTTTGTTTTTAATGGCAAAATAAACGATGATAATGTTTATTTATCGCAAAAATAACACCGCATACTGAAAGAACATACCCAAAAACCCCTGGGTATGGATTTTCAAGAAAATATTTTAACTTTATCTATAATTTTTTTACAACGGAAAATTCATGCACAAAATTGCACTTTTGCGCGTTAATGGGTTAAACTCAAATAGCTTTGCTTGAGTTTTGTTAATTTAAATGTAACCGGCTATAATTAATTTTTACATTGTTTTTTAACTACAGTCCCGGTATCAAATGCCAGTGAAACAAGAAAATCCAATTAGCCACGAACAAATCAACCATGTAAGTATTTTATTACTATACACTTTATTTATTTTGAGAAAGAGTCGAAAAATATCAATCGATTTATCAAAAAAGATTTTTCAAATACCAAAATTCATCGAAACGTAACTTCACTTGGTTCGTTACGATATTTTGGTATAATTTTGAAACTACGTGTATAAATTATTCCTTGAAATAAAAATCACCCTTTAAAAATGGCCACATTATGCTTGAACAATCACTTATTAATCACATACTAGATAATTGAATTTCCATTTTTTAGGAACCAAATAAGTTGCCTGCTTTACACGTAAATAAGCTGCCCAACTTAAACGCAGACGAGTCCAAAAACAAAATTCTGGAGTTTCTCAACCAATGCCCAACGTCACCTCAACCTGTTGACAACATTCATCTACCTCGTGAGTCTCATTATTTCTTCTTTTTGTTCATTCAATTACAAAAAGAACATGTTAAATATTATTACCGTACCGTGAGATTTCCGTACAGCGGCAACGAAAAATGCATTACTCTTCGGTTTTCTGGCTAGTTAAAAGCCTAAGTCATGGACTTATGCGGCGCTTATATACTACCGCGATTTTTTTTATCCGCACAATACGCGTATATACATCTATATATTTATATGTACATAAATCCAGAATGAGTCTGAGGATGTTTATTCTCAGTGCTTCCTCCTTTGTTCTGCTCTCTTGTAGAAGAAGAAGATATTTTCTCACCCGCGCGCGCTCTTTCGTACCGAAGCTTTTTTATACGAGCTCCTCTGGACTCGTAGAAATGCTCTCTTTCTCTCACCCGCCTTTAAAAATAGATGGTATATAGCAGCGGCGCGCGGCGTTTGCGCCTCTCTTTCTCTCTCTCTGTATCGTGGACTTCTCGGCACACAGCACCGCAGCGCAGCACCACTGTGCCTAGTTTTCTCATAATTCAGCGGCCGATGCCGACTCTCTTGCCCGACAATAATCGCTCGATACTATTTAATCTCATGACTCGATAGAAATATAACGTCGTACACACGGCTACACAGTGTGTTTTCCTATACGATCGAACGAGAAAAAAAAAGAAGACGACGAAGAATAAAAAAAAAAAAAAGAAGAATCCTAGGAGTGCTCTTGGCGTAGAATTCGACTCTCAAGGTGGCAATACCTTGACACACACCCTCGCGTGACCCATATTTCGTCTCTAATACGGTCGAGACTAGCGCACACGTGTATACACTGCGGGTTCGGACTATATACTTATACTTACTACGCGATTCAGTATAGCGATGCAAAATATAAAAATTTGTCTCGAAAAGCCTCTATTACACCACTCGCGCAGCTATTATTCGACATTCGTAATTCTTGTAACGCGTTACGAGAATTGAATTTTCATGACCCGCGTGCCTCGAACAATCGGTTATTACGTCGCGATCTGAATACGTTTTTGAAGCTAATATAACCGCTGGCTTCGATTTCATCACTCCCCCTTGCATGCCAATCGATCGATCTCTCTGCCTACTTTTCGCCAACGTTATCGAAGTTTTTTCAATCGGATAATATAGATATGAATCTTGGAGGCTCTCTTCGTACACATCGCGTGCATTTGGGCAAATAAATTTTCCCAAAAAGTCCTTTTTTTCCGAAGCTCGCGAGCTGCTCGTTCATTAAAACTTCATTACCGAGTAAGAAAATTCGTATTTTAATTGGTGCTCGAGTGAAAGTATCCCCGAGCCGTCACGCCAGACGAAAACTCCTCTTTGTCTTGTGTACTACGCTTCGTTTTCTTTTTTTTCATTCTTTCTTTCTTTCTTTCTTTCTTTCTTTTTTTTATCGTCTACATCGCGCAGTCTTAGTTCCTTGGCACCACCCCTAAATATCCTTTTCTACTAACTTCCTAATTATTCCAGCTGCGAGAGCTGTGTGTGCTGCTGCTGCTGCCGAATAGCGAGTCGGAGCGGCGCCTTGTATACGTAGATATATATACGCGCGACTTTTATTGTCTTTGTTTTTTTTTTTCGGTCCCCTTTTAACCCTAGAGAGAGCAGAGTCGTATATAGCGCGCTGCGTTTCTGCTGCTGCTTGCATGGTGTGTTGCAGCAGAGCTCGTCGTCCTGTTTTATATAGACGCGCGCGTTTACACGGGTATTTTTTTCCTCCGCTCTTTTTCTCCTCCTTTTTTTTCAGTTTTCGCTGCTTATACCGAGAGATAGAGACTACAATCGCGCGTAGAGTAGGTAGTAGTAGCGTTTCTCATCTTCATCTTCGTTCCTTAACTTCTCTCTGGATGTCATATTTCGCTTCAAAAAGAATCTCTACAGCTCTCATCTTTCTCTTTTCTCTCTTCTTTTTTTTTTCGCGAGTGAACTTTTTCCACGTCCACGCTGCGCTTCACGACTGTACGTAGTAGTAGTAGTAGTAGTAGAGAGACAGCACGAAGGATTTCGAGCTTTTTTTTTTATCATTTCTCTTTCGCGCGCGCGCGAGAGAGTGCATGTGTTCCTGCATTGAGGTTGAATAATTTTTTTTCCTCACTCACTCTCTCTCATACGAGTATAATCTTGCACTCGCGCGCATCATGGGGTGAATCTTTGAATATCGTCGTCCTGGACTCTCGACATTCGTATAACTACGACGAGTGCAACGTGAGATTCTTTTTGTCGACTCAATTGGGGAGACACGGAGAATTCAACAAACGCGGCTCATTGTGCAAGTCGAAAAAGAGGTTCATCGTATCGCGTTATTTCGCTCGCGTATACGTATATAGCGAAAACCGGTTCGGTTTGCAACACGGTATATACAACAGAAGGTCAATTAATAACAGCGTAAAAGTAGCAGGTATAACATCGTTATTAAATTAATTGAAAATGATTCGAGGTGTACAAGCAGAAGAAAAGGCCGAACCGTTAGAAAAATGAGCGAGCAGCAGCAGCAGCAACGTCGTTGTGTTGTTTGCGGCTTTGGCTGTGTGTGCATCGTACTAGTAGTAGTGGTATATAGTCGTCCTCGTGGCGCAAAGAAAAGAACGCGTTGCGTCGCCCGCGAGTTAGAGAGAGATAGAGGCAGATATATAGAGAGAGAAAAAGAGAGCCGAGAATTGGCGTTTGCTGCTGCTGCACGCGGGCCAGGGCAGGCATGCGCGCGCCAAAGAGCAAGATAGACAGTGTATCGCAGGTTGCTATGGCAACGCGGATTATGTATATAGGTATATAAATGCGCCGTGTGTATATTCCTCCGCGACTGCCATGCCACAGCAGCCGGGGCTACACACAGACATAGACACATACACGACGTCATCCAATCCCAAGCAAAAGTCAGAGCAGCAGCAGCATAGCATGTACTACACATATACACGGAGAGCATAGTAATAGCGAGGCGCAACGCAGCAGACGCTCGATTGCCTCCCCCTCTTCTCTCTTTTTCCTCCCATTGATATATACTGCTGCTGCTGTATGCCTTTGTGTATGCGCTGCATCCTATATAGGAGTACGTACATGCACACACATCGTCGTAGTCGTCGTCGTCGGCCGACGCACACACACACATATATATATTTCACATGGTAAAGAGATGTGTGTGCGTTGGATATATATATGTACGAAGAGACGACGACGCGCCGCGTCCGTAATCCGCGTGTATATTTGTAAGCGAGCGAGAGAGAGACGCCACCGTGACGGAATCGAACCGGTGAGCCTATTTTGCGATAATCCTGTTGTACGTTTTTTTCTCTCTCTCTCTCAGCTCTATCTATCTGTCTCGCGAGCGAGCACGGCTCTATATATCTCTCTCTCTCTCTCGCGTATACACGAGCGGTGTGCTCCAATCTCCATATAGATATATGATACGTATCGAGGCAAATTGAAATGTGTCACAATTCGCAGTGGTAGTGCCGCTGCTTCTTTCAACATTATCAGAGAGAGAGAGAGAGAGAGAGAGAGCCCCGCAACCTAGTCGCTCGCGATGCACTTGCTGTCCCGATAGGAGTACACAGTGGCGCACCACCTCTTCGACCAAACCAGCTTTCAAATCGACTCGCGCGCGCGCGAAAAAAACAATGACAGAAAAATGTAGCGATAAATAGCGAATACATGTATAGTTTTTTGGAGCGCGCGCGCGCGGATTCGAGCCCGCGAATGAGGTCAAATTTTTAAAAAGCAAAAAAAAAAAGGCCTCCGATTCCACAATCGTTGTAGTGTGTTGTATACGTAAATACACGTATCAACGATATTATACTTCATACTTATACACTGTGTCTGTCGTCGTCGTCCGAGCGCGTCGAGTTATTTATCTATAGCTGATTTAAAGTACCGCGCGCGCGCACGCTTATATACACTGTGTGCCGCAGAGGCGACACACTATTATAACTACTACTACATTATACATGCTATATAATATATATGTGTAAGAGCCTGGTGCTGTGACGAAGTAGCAGTAGTAGTAGTGGTGGTAGTCGTCGAGTTCGGCAACGATCGGCAGTGGCAGAGCAGCAGCGTAAACGTTGCGTAATGGCCGCCTTTTTTTTTTTGCTTTTTTTTGCTTTGCTTTTTTGGGGACGAGCTCGTTTCGGTCGTGTTTTTAAATGGCCTTATTACGACTTTCTCGATAATCGCGCGCGCGCGCGCGGAGCGTTGCGAGCGGAAGAACTATGACTCGTGCGTTATATATGTATGTATCCGATAGAAGCTACCACCCCCTCCTTTTTTCAACTTCAATCGCCCGCGTACATATATAATTATAAATATTCCCAGGTGGTCGCGGCTACTCCGCCGATAGCCGATTTCTCGCCTGGGCATCGCCGTTGATTTTGCCTTATCTCGGCTCTCGTGCGTGTATTATTATAATGGGTGTTAGCCCGGATGTGCGCGAGCGCGCGATGTTGTCTTTGAAGACAAAAATGCTTATACGTTATGTACGGTTAAACGAGAGGAACCCGGCGATTGAAAATTTTCTGGAGCCGAGAGGCAGCAAAAGAGCAACAACGTGGCGCTATATACTTTACGCCATTATATATAACATGTATACCGACGCTATCGAGTGAGTCTCTAATAATAGCCAAGCTTGCGTGCGCGTCTCTCTCTTACTCTTATATACGTGTTATGTAGCGTGTAAGTGTGTATGTGTTGGTGGTCGCTATATATGCATGTTTGCGAAAGCGGAGTGTTGGTGTCACCTCGTTATTGCCTCCGCTAATACACACACACACACAAAGACACAGACACAGCAGCAGCAGCAAAAAGTCGCCACAGAGCTGCTGCTGCTGCTGCTGCTCCGAGCTGCCCGAGAAGAACTGCGCAATTTTTTTTCCCTCCTTGCTTCATTCGAAATCGACATTCGTCCTTGCAACAAACAACACGTCTTACATACAGGCACATATATTTAGATCGCATGCGTATGTACTGTATACAGACACGATCACGATGATGATG